GGCCCCCCCCCCCCCCCCGCGAATCGCCGCAGGCCGGCCGAGGGCCGAGAGCTGCTGCCGGGGCGAGCCGGTCGGTGCGTGCGGATCGCGTGGCGGCCCCCCGAGATCTATCCAGAGCGCGCCTTCCGAAGACGGGCGCTTCTGCAGCCCTCCGGCGGGCGGCCTTCGGGAGGAGCGGCCCCGCCCGCCCGCGCCTTCCGGTTGGTGGACCTCTGGGCTGTCTTGGCACTGGGGTGGTGGGGAAGGTTGCCAGCTCCCGGCTGGCGAGACGCCTGGAGATTTGGGAGCGGGCGGGACGCCGTCGAGCCCCCTTTCCGAAGCAGCCATCTTCTCCAGGAGGTATTCGAATCCTCAGGCTCCGTGTACAACATGGATTGTGTGCTAAGGCTGAAATAAGCAGGTCACTTTACACAAACCATACAATATTTGCATTGTGTCGGTTGCTGTAAAGGTTCAGGACGTCCCCCCTGTCTTGCCAGCTTCCTGTTGTGAACCGCCAGTCTCTTGAAATGTTGTGCACCAGTTTCCTTTGGTTCCTATTTTTTGAAGCTTGTGCTTGGATCATACCCTTTCAGCAGCCGAGGCAATACAGATATTGTTTACAGAAGTTACATGTTAAGAAAAGCAATTTCTGTATTGTTAAGCGAATACTTTTATAAGCAATGTATGACCTCCAACTCTTGGGGCTTTAGTGGGTTTTCTTTCCTTTTTCCTATAGTTGTAGATTCCCTCCCTAATTTCATTGTAGGTTTTAGAAAATGCAAATAAAAAAGTCCCCAACGGGGGCCAAAAAAAAGAAAGAAAGAAAGAAGAAGAATTCAATCTTAATATACAATTCATTGTAGACGGGTGCTTTAGGATTTGAATACTGCCCTCCAAACCACGGGCCTTCTGTTGTAGTAACATTTTCTCCAAGGGGGTCTCATCTCTCTCATCGGGAGATTGGCTGTAATTTCAGGAGATTTCCGGGCCACATCTGGAGGTTGGCACCTGTACAACGGGACATCTTGGAGGGCAGTCCTCATTCCTGAGTGGGTGTCTGGAGGGCTCTGTCAACAACGCACAATTCCGCAGTGTCAGGATTGGCTAGCTTGCCTGGTCTTGGATGCCAGCGGCACAGATGAGGGGCCCAGGACATGGGAGCATGTGCGCAGGAGTTGGGTTCTGAGGGCTGCTGGAGACCAGCCATTGCAGTGGTGTGATTGGACTGCCTGTCTCTTTAGATTTCTCCACATAGCACTGTTAAGGTGGGGCGTTGGATTGGGACCATGGGGGTGTTAACTCAGCCCCCGTGCTTCTTGCTGACAAAAATGGGCCCCTGGGGTTCTGTTCTCTCTCCCTCTCTGCTGTTTTCTCTATAAAGACAAGTAGCCTCTTTAGAGGACTTCTCTAAACTGGGGGAAGTGTTTGTGTGTATGTGTGCACGCACACGCATGTGTAGCATTAAGCCTCTCTTGCCAGATGCTTTGTTCCTGATTCAAGTTCCCATCCCCATGAATGCTGTCCAAAGATGGAAGACCCAGTCCTGGATATCCCAGACCTCTTCTGATGTGTTCGGTTGGGTAGCCAATCAGTGTTCCCTCTAAGCTTGAGTTAGTGTGAGCCGGCGCACCGTTTTTTAGCCTCCAGCTCACACATTTTTTGTCTCCGCTCAGGAAGGAGGGCTCCAGAACAAACTGATTTATGCAGCAGCCAAATTGCTCGCTCACAACTTCAATGCCAGTCACTCGCAAAGTAGCATTTTTGCTCACAAGGCCCCACAGCTCAGAGGGAGCCTTGGTAGCCATGCTGGTCTGAAGCAACAGAACAAAGTTCGAGTCCGGAGGGACTTTTAAGACCAACTTTTTAATTCAAGGTATAAGCTTTCATGTGCACACACACACGTTTTCAGATACATTTTGTGCGCACGCGCAAAGGCTTATCCCTTGAATAACACTTTGTGGGTCTTGAAGGTGCCACTGGACGCCAACTTTGTTCTTGTCTGATGTGGTTCTTGGTTATATGTTCTGGGCTGAGGACAGAGCATTTCTAGTCTTTCCCACTAGAGGGCAGCAGTTGCAACATCCCAGGTAGTTGCGCAATCCTCAAGGGAGGAAGAAAGTTAATGATTGGAGGCGTTCCTGCATGCTCAGGTTTGGGATGGGCACTTCTGCAAAGTGGATCCCCAAAGCTGACGACGTGATAAATCTGTTGGCCCTTATTGCCGCCCAAGGAGACCTGTTATCTGAGCCCACAGCAGTCCAGATAGCTTTAGAGAGAAACTGCTCCATCTTTTCCTCCCACTGATTTCCCCCCAGAAGCCGGAGCGACTGCCTGGTGCGCTCTCCCTGCCTTTCTATAGTCAGAAGCCTCAGAGGTTTGCCTTCCTTGAAGCACTTCCAGGGGAATAACCATGCCGGTCTGTTGCGCTTGACGGGAGTCCCTTTTTTCCGTAGCACTTTAAAGGTTGACAACATTTTGTTCCTCTCATCAGTCATGTAAAATGGAGCTTCAGGTGGCGGAATTGGTTAGGGGAGAAAGCGTTTTGAATGGTGGGGTTAAAAAGACCATGAAAACTGCTACCCGCAGACGCCTGTTCTGCGCCGGTTGTTGACTGCTCGGTTCAGGCACAATCGGTGGCTGCGTCTGTCTTAAACGTGTCTGTTGGCTCCTCCCTCAGCATTGTCTCACCGGCCCTCCTTTTCAGATTCCCCCCCCCCCGCCCGTAACATTCTTGGCTTGCACCCTGCCCTTCTGCACGGAGGTCAGGATACGAACTCCTGGCCCAGGGTGTTTCCTTTGCAGTTGAGTTCACACGTTTTGCCGTATTTCACAGGCTGTCTGAACGCTTCTTCCTATAAAAGAGCTAGATTCCAATCCAATAGGATCTTAGAGACCAACAGGATTTCATCAGTATCTGACCCAAGGGAGTTTTGACTCTCGAAAGTTTATACCCTGAAAACCTTTGTTGGTCTCCAGGGTGCTACTGGGTTCGAATCTAGTTCAGCCAGTATCTAGTTCAGCCACTATCATAATAAATTGGTGGTGCGACCTCATCTGGAATACTGTGTGCAATTCTGGTCACCCCACCTCAGAAAGGATATTGTGGCCTTGGAAAAAGTGCAGAAAAGGGCAACTCGAATGATAAAAGGGTTGGAACACTTTCCCTATTAAGAAAGGTTGAAGCGCTTGGGGCTCTTTAGCCTGGAGAAATGATGGCTGAGGGGGTGACATGATTGAGGTTTACAAGATTATGCATGGGATGGAGCAGGTAGAGAAAGAAGTCCTTTTCTCCCTTTCTCACCATACAAGAACTTGTGGGCACTCCATGAAATTGCTGAACGGTCAGGTTAGAACGGATCAAAGGAAGTACTTCTTCACCCAAAGAGTGATCAACACATGGAATTCACTACCACAGGAGGTGGTGGCTACAAGCATGGACAGCTTCAAGAGGGAATTAGATAAGCATATGGAGCAGAAGTCCATCAGCCACAAGGTATAGATAGGAACTCTCAGTCTGGGGCAAGGGATGCTTGGGGGGGGGCAACAGTGGGAGGGCTTCTAGTGTCCTGGCTCCTGGACCTCCTGTCGGCACCTGGTATTTTTGGCCACTGTGTGACCCAGAGTGTTGGACTGGATGGGCCATTTGGCCTGATCCAACATTGGCTTCTCTTATGTTCTTTTTATTGTCGACCAACATGGCTGCCCTCTGATACCATTCCTGAAAAAACAGCTTCAGTGGTGCAAGTTTTTGAAAAAAGCCCATTCACATTAAATGCCATTGTTGTAGTTCCTGATCTGCCAAATTTGTGGCATAAACATAACGGGTGGAGGCCACTTTTACCACTCCTGGCGTGCCAAGCGGCACATGCCCCAGATCTACCAGGGGAGGGATATTCTAAGGAATGGGCCAGTTCTTTGTATTTAACAGGGCAAGTTTCACTGAAGGTTGTTTTTTTCTCCTCCCGTAGGTGTATGTTGAAGCTTAAGATCCATCCCTGCCTCCCTGGGACTGAGGGGCGGAAATTCCTATTTATTGACCCTTTGGACTCGCAGCTGACTGAAACGCGTCGGCATTCTTTCTCTCTGGACTGAGCGGCCCTTCCAGGGCGCAAGAGGTCTCCCTGATCTTCACCCACCTTCTCTGCTGCCATGGATACGGAGTCGACCTACTCGGAATACTCCCACTACTCCGGGCACTCCAAAAAGTCCCAGAGGCAAGGGTATGGATGCGTTTGTTGTGTTGTGAGCAGAATTCGCACTGGGGATGGGGCAGGGCGGTCCCTGTTTCTTTGGTGTTCGAGGGTTACGTTGATGGAACACAGCAGAGCCCCAAGGTGGGGCTTGTGGGGGACGACCGTGTCTTTTTTGAAGCTTTGGTTCTGTGCGGAGGATGCGCGAGGGTCTTTGCGTTGCGCTTCCAATCCGTGACGCCCATGTGGTCAGGATCCACCCCAGTTCTTGCTACATCATCACTCCCTGCAAAAGCGTCCCTCCTCCAGGCAGGTTTGTAGTCAGTGAGGGAGAGAAAGAGCATCCTAACAGCCCTGGGGGGGCTCTCCTGCTCCCCCCCCCAGTCTGTTTGGGAAGGTCACTCTGTGCTGAAGCGTACTTGTTTTGCGGGGGGGGGGGGGGAGGGGACACCGGGACACCCCTGCCTTGTAGGGAAGATACAGAAAGTTTTGTTTCAAAGTTGGGTGTTTAAAAAACCCCCTCTGAAACTGTCAACATGACATTGTCGGGGGGGGGGGGAAGGGGGACCCCTTCGTGTGGCATTTTGGACTGCTGTAAGCAACCCCAGCAGCCTGTTTGGTGTCGTGGTTAGGAGCACGGACTCTAAACTGGGAGAACCGGGTTTGATTCCCCACTCCTCTACGTGCAGCCAGCTGGGTGACCTTGGGTCAGTCACAAGTTCTCTCAGAGCTGTTCTCTCAGAGCTGTTCTCTCAAGAGCAGTCCTCGAAAGAGCTCTACCAAACTGGCTTTTTCTCTCCCCCCCCCCCCCAAGGAATGTTCTTGGGCTGAGAACAGACAATGTTTTTTTATTTTATTTAAAACATTTTCATCCCGCCTTTCCACCCAATCAGGATCTGCATGACGACCCAAATAAAAACATTAAAACATTGGAACAAACCAAAACAACATTTTAAAATAATTCAATAAAAACACAGAAGAAACTATACCAGAGGAGGACCAATAGCCATTACTGGGTGTATGCCAAATGAGACCAAAAAAGTCCTCACCCACTGATGGGAGACAGTGATAGAGGGAGACAGACAACGTTTTGGTGTCACGTCCGAGAGGGCCCTTCCTTGGGTTACCACCTGTCTAGCCTCAGGGGGCGGGAGCAGCCAAAGCGGGGCCTCTGAGGATGACGAAGAACTGTGTGTCCCTCCAGTTTTAAGCCAGAAAAATACTGTGCCTCAGACATTAGAAGTTTGGGAAGTATAATGAGCTATTTTTGGGTTCCCTCACACCTAAAACATGGACACCTGTGCAGATACGTTGTCTTTAGGAAGTGTGGCGTTTCCTCTTGCCTGTTGTGTGCATATGTGGCAATAGGGGTGGGCTGAGAGACCGGGGAATGTTCAGTCTGGAGAAGAGGAGGCTGAGGGGGGACAGGATGGCTCTCTGGAAGTATTTGAAGGGCTGTGTCACTTCGAGGAGGGCAGGGAGCTGTTTCTGTGGGCAGCAGAGGAGAGGATTCGCAGTAGTGGGTCTAAATTGAGGGCGGGAAGGTACTGGCTGGATATTAGGGAAAAAAATTTTACACTGAGAGTTGTTCAGCAGTGGAATCGACTGCCTGGGGAGGTGGTGAGCTCCCCCTTGCTGGCAGTCCTTAAGCAGCGGCTGGACAGACACTTGTCAGGGATGCTCTCGGCTGATCCTGCATCGAGCAGGGGGTTGGACTAGATGGCCTGTATGGTGCCCCTTCCAGCCTCTGTGATTTTACGATTCTGTGAGTGCTGGAATCAGTCGCCTCTCCCCAGTCCAGGAAGGGAACCATTTCTCGCGTCTTCCGAGAACTGTAATCTTAATTTGTTGTTGTTGCTGGGGGGGGGGGGGGCTGTTTCCTAGTTATTGGGGAGGGACATCTGTGAGTGAGGAAGTAGAATCTGTCACACACCCTCTTGGCCGGGGACTGACTCGCTGGATAAATGTTCCGCCTGTACCATGGTAACCCTTTGACAAAGGACTCTGGGCAGTGCTGAAAGGAGCGCATTTCCTTGGAGGCCATCTGTTGCTACCTCTTGTTTAACTCCCGTCAGTCTGAGAAACCTAGGATCAGTTTTGCTTCATTTCCGCTGCTTCATTCATTTCACTATCGAACTTTGTCTGACCGGATGCCTCAGGCGTGTTGTTCTTGTCGCTCTCTTTGTGATAGTTTGAGTCTCGGCCCTCCTAGCTCCATTTCCCCTCTCATTTGAACCTCCTCAGCAGGTTGCGTGAGGTAATTTGTGGCAACTGTCGGTGAGGGTAGGTGTGAGATTCCAGGTGCTGTGGCAGTGGGTGGATCCTGACATGCCAAGAATCGCTTTGACAGTCCCTTTAGTACAAGCTACTCTTTGACCTTACTCGCTCCCCCTCCCACCCCCAGCTGTGCAAGGGCAGAAGAAACAGGATCTGTTGACCAGATTCCAAACATTTGGAGGACATGGTTGACCGTAGGGGTGCGGATACTTCTGGTGGTAGGTTGCACAGGGTTGCCACTTTCGGGAAAGTCAGGGTCTTTGACCTTACTCGCTCCCCCTCCCACCCCCAGCTGTGCAAGGGCAGAAGAAACAGGATCTGTTGACCAGATTCCAAACATTTGGAGGACATGGTTGACCGTAGGGGTGCGGATACTTCTGGTGGTAGGTTGCACAGGGTTGCCACTTTCGGGAAAGTCAGGGAAATGAAAATTGGTCAGGGGAAGTCAGGGAAATTGGTCTGAAGTCAGGGAAATTGTGATTAAAATATTTATTTATTTATTTATTTATTTATTTATTTGATTTTTATCCCGCCCTCCCACCAAAGCGGCTCAGGGCGGCTTACAACATTAAAACCAATAAGACAATGCGCCTAAAACAATCTATAACAGTACAATAAAATCGCTATTTACACACAGTACAACATACCCATGGCGGCAACTATAAAGTGCAATCATACTTAGTCTGAGTTGTTAAATGCTTGACAGAATAGCTCCTTCTT